TTGAAGCCCACCAGTCATAAAAGAGCCAAGGTTGCCTATCCTGGTCTACCCCCATTGACTTGACTTGCGGGAAGCTGGCTGGAAAGCTTGCAAGTGGGGATCCCATATGACCCCAGCATGTTGCAGCTGTTGGAAATACATACTGGTTGCCAAGCACCTAAATTCTGATCTCATGAGGATGCTGGGTCGATTGTAAGTGCGAGGACGTGTCGCCACTGTTTTCAGTGCCGTTGTAACTTTGAACGGTCACTAAATGAACAGTTGTGAGTTGAGGGCTGCCTGTATATAAAATAAAGATTCGGGAGGTTTACTGGCGGCCCACCCATTTTAAAGCAGCCTTGCCAAGCGGACACCATAAATATGCTGACTTTAATCCCAAATATGCTTTTTCAGGAGGCAACTGGACTTTCTTGTTTTTCTTTGAAGTAAACACCATCCAGTCAGAGCTGAAGAAGCTTCTTGGATAAGAAGTGAAACATTTTCAAGGAAAAACAAAGAAAGTCCAAGTTGAAAAAACACTTTGGGGACAACCATGACCTGGATGACTGAGAATCTCCATAGACATGTTGACTTTTAGTTCCTGTCACTTTCGCTTTGCTGGGTGGTGATTAAGCTGACCAGAAAACTTGTGTTCCAGAATTGTTTTGGTTGTGACTACTAGCTTATTATATTTGGAGTCACACATCACAAACCAATTTGTTGAACGAACCACAACCGACCGAATTCACGTAACATTCAAAGAAAACAAAGAACAATTTGAACAACATTTTTTGTTTCAAATCAAGCAAGCCACACTGTGGTATTGTAAAAAAATAAATCAGTGTATTCCAAAATGCTTTGGGGGGAAGAAGATGGCCCTGGATTGTTTTCCTAATTTTTATTGTATCTCTTTGTGCTAGTCTGAAACGCTGCCTTGAGTGGTGAAAAGGGAAAACAGTATAAAAATGTTGCAATAAATGGTCAGATCGCAAACAATCACGTTTAGCTTCTGTGACTTGCCAGCCACAGCTCACAGGGCAAAAGCTACCCGGTCGTGGTTTGTTCAACAAACCACGATTCCATTTCCTCTCCGCCAGCCTGCGAAAGGGGCTGTGCGGGCGATGTTATTTGAACATCTCCAACCGTTTACCCTCGTTTATTCGACTCAAACGCCTTTTTATTTTGCAAGGCGCTTTTGCAAAAAAACAAAAACACCAAAAACCCAGGGTGGAAAAGCAGAATAGAGCCGAGCGGATCCCGGGATCGAGTGGATTTGGAACTCACCCCGGGGGGAAAAATCCAGGCCCTGGTCATTCCCACCAGGCATTGCAAGGCCGGCCAGACTCACGCATGCCTCAACTCACTATCCCCCCGCCAACGCGCCTATTTCCAACTCGTAAATTAACTAACAACAACAACAACAACAACAAATCCCCCAGCTCCATTGCGCTTCCCGGACGCCGAGCCCGATGGCACCGCGTCTCCGTCCCGCCACCGCCCGGCTGGCGTTTGCGCCTCGCCAGGGAAGGTGGGAGGGCGGGCAAGGGAGGCGCGGCCCTGGATCCCGCCCAGCGGGCGCGGGCTCGGCCCTTTTGCCTTCCCCAGGATTTGCTGGCAGGGCTGTAAGTCATCTCCAGCTCCCAGCCCCGGCGGCTGCCTGCCAGGAAGACGCGGCGCAGAAGGACCCGCGCTTTGTGCCAATGGCGCACGGGGCGCTGCGCTTTTACGCGCCGCCATTGGCCGGCGGCTGGCGAGCGGGGAGGGCGGGTCGGGGGCGGGGGGAGCGTTACTTTCCGAAGTGAACTTTCTCCCCCCCCCCTCGTCTCCTCCCTCCCTCCCTCCCTCCCTCCAGCCCGCCCGCCCTCCACGGTGTCTCCCCTCCCGCAGCGGCCGCTTCTCCTTGTTTGCGCGCGGATGGAGCTGAGCTGCAGCGTCGCGGCGAGGGAGAGCGGCGGCGGCGGCGGTGGCGGAGGAGGCTCCACCGTCGGCGGCAGCGGCAGCAGCAGCGGGCAAACGGCGGCCGCGGGGCTCCTGATGGACGGCGAGAGTCCCTGCGAAGACGACTACGAGAGCCTGCCTACCAGCGCCTCCCTCTACACGCACATGACGGCCGGGGCGGTGGCCGGCATCCTGGAGCACACGGTCATGTATCCCGTGGACTCCGTCAAGGTGGGTTTTGGGGGTCGAGCGGAGCGGGGGGGGAGAGCTTGGGCCAGGGCGGGAGAGCGACCCCTGGCTCCTGGCTCCCTGCAGATCTTGCCGGACTACAAAGCCCATCTGCTTTTGGCTGGAGAAAGAGGGGAGCCACTCCTGGCTATTCTATTCTCTTTTCTTTTCTGCCTCCCCACCCCTTTTTTTTTTTCCTTGCACCAGTCCTGGAGTTCCCCTTTGACATTCCTACCGGGGGGGGGGGGGTTTGCAAGAATTCAGTTTAAACGTGGAGTTCCTGTAAAATAGAACTTTTTTTAAAAAACCTGGGTCTGCGCAACAGCTTTCTTTCAAACTGCTGCAGCTAAGGATTGCGAAATCGCCCTGGCAGCTGGATTTGGGACAACCTGTCTTGGTGTCATTGCTGAGCTGCTCCAGGCTGGCTCTCTCGACCCCCCCCCCCAAAAAAAGAAAGAGATCTGCTGGGTCAGTTTTCTTGCATTGATCCTTGTCAGCTAATCTGCTTCTGCCTTGAGTGTCCTCTCACAGCGGCCTCTGGTTAAAAAAGGTACACAAATTGGCCCTGGGCCTTGAAATGGTATAATAACCACATGTCTTGCTAATGATGGGGTTGGAAATTGGGGTGTTTCCAGATGTGACAGGTAACTCTGGAGCCCTTCGGCGGCTTCATACATCAGACAGGTTTGGTGGGATGTGATGCTGGCCCTTCATCTGAAAACACACTTAAGAGATGCTGACTGGTTGTACGGGCAGATCTCTGACAAGCGCGTGGAGAGGAGCATCAGCTTCAGCCTAATTAATTGGGCATTATTAATCCCTTGCATTAAGAATTAACCTGATTAGAAGGCCAGCAAAGACTCTGCTTTAATCTGCAACTGGAGTAGATTTGTAAGGAGCTGGGACAATACCTAGAATATTTTGTGTAGATGTCCCTGAGTAGCATCGATGTGTTGAACTGGGCCCCAAATCTGGAATAACTGTGTGTGATCGTAGATTCCCGATGGTTCTCCTTCACTTATTTGGAAGTGATCCCTCTTTTGGTAGCACAAATTGCAAAATCATCTTTCCTACCTTGTCATCACACACACACACACACACAATTTGAGAGAGAGAGAGAGAGAGAGAGAGAGAGAGAGAGAGAGAGAGAGAGAGAGAGAGAGAGACTCTCTCTCTCTCTCTCACACACACACACACACACACACACACACACACAGACACACAGACACACACACACACAATTTCTGAATAGACCGTTTTACTCATCTGGCACCAACTGTTCTTTCAAAATATTGCTGGTCATTGTGAGTTGCCCTGTCCTGTTTTTTGACCCGTACACTTGTGTGTGTGTGTGTGCGTGTGCGTTTTAGGCCTTGTCAGCATAGTCTTGAGCAGGTTGACTGACCGGAGCTTATTCCCAAGGAACTGTTTATGGCTCTACACCCCATAAATGTATTTTCTTTTTGAATAAAGCGCAGATGGGCTGAGAATGCAACTTCACATTTTGGGGTGTTGAATTCTGTAAACTGCTGTCCCAGCCCATCTGCGGGGCCATCAGGTTGGGGAAAGGGGATCTGATATAGTCAGATGACTTTAAAGACTCACAGCCCAAATTTGTGAAGAGAAAACCCATCCAATAAGTAACTTTACTGCAGGCTTGAGCAAACTCGCGTAGATTTCTGAATTGCTTAACGTGGGCCGAATTGCCTAGCATCAAAGAGACGGAAGCTTGTGTTTCCCTCCCCAAAAAATCAATGCTTTCTTCACCTAGCTGATTTTTTTTTGCAACAGTGGCAGTTAAGGTGTTTACATATTTATAACTCCTCCAGCAAAACGTGGCATGAGAAACAGCTTAGCTTCCACCACTGAATTGCCTTGCACGGACGGGCAGCAACGTCGAGCCTGATAACACCATGGGTGTGGGTCCAGTACTACAACTTTCATTAAGAAAAATGTGGCAATGTGCTGCTACCGTTGCATCAGGAAAGGCCTTGAGGTTTGCAGGTGGATGGGAACAGGAAGTTCGGTGTCATTCCCCCCCCCCCCCCCGGTCCTCTCCCGACTGTGCTGTGTAGTGCCCGGTGAGTCCAGTGGTGTGAATTTCAGTGCTGGCTTCAAGAAGGCCTTTCTTCACACCAGCTAATTCTGGAGTAGCTGTTAGAGCCGGTTGTTCCCGGGTTGTGTTCTCAGCAATTTGTTGTACATTAGCCACTGTGCCACAAGACATGTGCCTGAAGCAGTTGCGTCCTTCATCTAAAAAAAAACAAACAGGTTACGTAGCTTGGGCGGTTGAATTCTGCATTCATAACTCTTTGCTTAGAATCCCATCTGGATTCTTCCTGCCATTGTTTATGTTTGTGTTTATTTAAATTTGTATACCGCCCTATCTCCCTTACGGGACTCAGGGCGGTGAACAGGCGATAATAAAAATCACAATAACTATCTATTCTAAAATCAGATTAAATAAATAAAGGCCTGCTCTAAAATACCCCATATAAAAAACCTGTACTAAAACCTAATTAAAACTACGCCAACAACCGGCTCTAACAGCTACTCTAGAATTAGCTGGTGTGAAGAAAGGACTTCTTGAAGCCAGCACTGAAATTCACACCACTGGACTCACCACCCGCACTATTGATCGGAACTTGGGAAATTTAGGACACTGTAAAAGTATTTGGACTCTTGGGGGGGTCTCCTCTGAATGACATGACACCCGGGACCCCTTGGAGTTTGCTCCTAGCTAAGGAGGGGGAGAATCTTCTTCCAGTAATTCTGTGCTCTGCCCCCTCTTCTCAATTAGGAAAAGCAGTTGGCACATTGAATGTGCAGTCTTACCCTGAGGTCAGAGTCCCTTTATCTGTCTCTTGTTAACAGGAACAGCCTGTTTCTCTCTTCCAGTATCAAGTGAACAGCGAAGCTTGTTCAACTGGGTAGCGAACCTGTGGACTAAGCCTGTGAACACCTTTGTGGCGAGAGGGACGCAATTGGCGGAAAAAAAACAAGGCTGTGCTTTGCTGTTGAAATTGCTGACACCATTTCGGTCTTGTCAAGGTGACAAATTGAACAGGAAGTGGGAGAGGGCTGGAATGCAGCCGCAAAACTTGGGGGGTAACAGTCTGGGTACAAAAATTGCATTTGTGCATCAGCTGGACTATTGAGGGTCTTTCACCCCCCCTCACCACTGAGAGTTTAAGATCTCATCCCCCTATGAGCTGAGTCACGCTTCGTTGGTTTGGGATCAGATGTGTTGTGTGAATCCATCTAGTTATGGCTTATTGCCAGCCTTGCAAGGTGTTCAGACCAGAAGCACTGCCAGAAGTGCTAGTTTTAATGCTATAGTAAGTTTACATTAACAGGATCTTGTAAGTCTGAAAGCCCATCTCTCTCTCTCCCCCTTCCAGTTGTCTTTAACGTCCAAGAAACTATGAAGGGTCCTTCCGAGATGTTTGCTACATCCTCATTCCTTCTTTGGACTCGGCTGTTTCTTATCTGACCGTTGTCTAGTCTGTGTCTCTTCCTCTTGTCTCCCAAGGTCACATACCATTACATAAGCCAGGGGTCTTCAAACTTGGCCCTTTTATGACTCGTGGACTTCAACTCCCAGAAATCCTCAGCCAGCGTGCCTGGCTGAGGAATGCTGGGAGTTGAAGTCCACAAGTCATAAAAGGGCCAAGTTTGAAGACCCCCTAACATAAGCTACGATTCAACAACCCATGGTTTCCATTATACAAAGCAGGTTGCTGATTTAGGTGGAAGGATTTCATATTAGCTGTCAGAGGCAAGTCTAAAAACACTGAATGATGATAGTGCATGAGATTTGATGTTGGCATAACCCGGGAATTAGTTTAACTGACTTTCTGGTCCTTTGCTGAGATTTTTAAATGTTGCCCCATTTTTTTTTTAATTCCCTCCCAGGCCAGCCTACTTTTAAGTATGACTGCTTTGAAACCTGCTAGTTCTAGTTCAGAAATGTCCAACTTTTAAGATTTTGGACTTTCAACTCCCAGAATGTCTCAGCGTAGCCGTGCTTGAAGTTGAAGTCCATAAGTCTTTAAAATTGCCAAGGTTGGATACCCCTGATCTAGATTATTAGTACAAGATAGGCTTATTCTGCAGAACCATAGTTGGATTAACCACATTTTAGGGTCAGATGCTATGGAAAAGTAGTAAATCCAGAGTGGAGAATGAAATTTTAGTTTTTGTGACTTGTACAAAAGAAAAAAAAAAAGAACAATGTGTGTAAGAGAGTGGGGATGGATGTTATTTTTGCTCTCACAATAAATCATTGTGCCAACTAAGTGTAGCCAATGATGGTATATGTTTTAAAGGGGGTATTCAAAACACTGTAAACAACATCTGCAAAATTGGGCAATATCCAAAATACTGATAGTATTCCCCTCTACTAGCAAAGTTAAATGTTTTTCTTGAAAATCCAAGAAGCATTGCCAAGGGGATCATGAAACAACATAAACCATTTTAAGCATACCCTTTAATTTTTCCAATATGGTGATTAGGCAGGCTTAACAGATTAGAGTTCTGTAAAATAGAAAACTCCTTGAGGTTGGGGAAATTCTCTTTGTGTCTGCTCACATTACAAATTCCAGCTGCATACTTGCACAGGTATTTGCAAACATTTGATGTCAGTCTGAGTGGAAGTTTGGTAGGTAGGAAAAAATTGTTAGTGGAACTGGGGCAAAAAAATATTTCTGTAACATTAACTTGAATACAGTGACTAACACACTAATTGTCAATGGGCGTGAAACATTTGCAAATTTATTTATTCTGTTCATGTTTATAATAAATAATTTTGCAAAAGCAACTATTTAACTCTTTATTGCAAAACAATATTTGAAATCGCAACAAATAGAGAAATAGAGTGGATGGATTGTAAGCAGAAATTAGAGGGCGAGTGGAGGAATTTGACTTGACTTACAACCACAACTGAGCCCAAAAGTTCCGTTGCTAAGTGAGACAGTTGTTAAGTGAGTCTTGCCTCATTTTAC